GTCGAGTTCTGATCTTAGTGCCCATAACATTAGCAATTGCTGTTGCTGCACAGTAAATCAGCATATGATGCAAATATTCCAATGTGTGGGCTTCTGTGATATAATTGGGTAGGACTTGATTATGGATCTCCTGTTCGGTTTGCTTCCGATAATGTCGCGTCTAGTCCCTGGGATAAGATTGTTTCTTAAAATTACTCGTTATTGGTCTGTTACTCTTTGTTCAGATTCTGGGTACTCCCTGAAAAATTCGGCATACAGTTGTTGTCGATAGCCGATCGTTTCTTAACCGAGATTTGTCACCTTATAATAAAAGCGTAAAATATTTTCTTTTATGGACAGTCTATTTCATACGCTGTCTCGGTCGTGAGCTTAAGTGAACGCCGGCTGATGTTCCACGCAGCGCCTCCAGCGAGTGGAGCTCTTGTTGTTGTTTGGCTCATTTGTGGTTACAGGTTTACAGGTGTTACCGAAACGGATAGAATAAGGAACACAGGTATATGAAACGAAGTGAAAATATAAATTACATTGGAGTTTGTAGTAGAATAGAGACAGCTGGGGTCATTTACACCGGATAAAAGATAGCATACCAGTGAGAGATGAGTGTGGAATGCAAAAATATTGACAAACAAAAAAAAAAGAGGAAGACGAAGATGTCTGTTTGTAGTCGTAGGTTTTTAGCCACTACTATATCCAAATGGATTGGTAGAGCATTTCCTGGAAAGTATGTTGGTTCGTTGGGCCCAACTACCATGGTGTCTTCCTTGTTCACTAAATAATTATTTAATATTCTTCCGTTTCTGTTTGTAGCTTTATCGTTTCAGTTAGGGGATCTGCCGTCTAGGTGTCCTATTTTCGACTTTTTTTAAAGAATCTGTTGGCTTTACATATGCTGAAGTGATCCTTATGTCACCTTATCTTTTTGTTGTTATTGCTTCCATAGTGTTTAGGGCTGGCGTCTATTGTAATGTATGGTTTATTCATTTTCTCACTAAAATAGCCGTCCCTCCTGAATTTGCTCTGTAGTCATTCCTGTAGTTGAAGTATCCTGGAAACTCGATATTAATAGTTTGAGTTAGTTTAATTTCTTGTAATACTATGACATACCATTTCATTTCTGTTTATTAGTTCGTCCAGCACGTTTGCATTTACTCTTATGCCGTTTGAGTTTCAGGAGCCTTTCTTCAGGTGTCGTCTAGCTTCGTAACTTAGTTTAGTGCTATTTTTACATTTTTGATCGCTTCACCTACCGTTTTTATAACTAGCTCTTCTAGCATCTTGACCAGTCCTTTTTTTGTTCTTTTGAGTTTAGTATGGTCGAGTTTGTTGCTAGGTTTTGTATGGGTTTGATGATTTGGCCTTTCCATTGTCTATTATTTCTTTTAGGTTTTTGCGTTCTGTTTTTAAAGTTGTTTGTCTGGTTTTTCCCCAGGTAGGTAACCTTGGGCATCCCCTAATACTTGCCCTTGGCAATTAGAACATTTTGCTTTTTTTTTTCTGGAATTTCTGGAATTTTTCACAATTTGCTTCTGTGCTCTTCTCCGCACTTTACGCACCTAGGTTCTTTGAAGCACGCATTTTGGCTGTGGTGAATGCCCTGGTCATTAAAACACTGAATTGGTCCTTAGCTCTTTCTTGAATCTTCTATTACTACTGTAATGTACAGTGGGTAATGAAATTATTAGAGCCACCCAATAAATATTTACTTTGTGTTTAATAATGGTATATTATTGAGCTATAAAACATATTATTGTGCCGAATCCTATTTAACTCTAAATAATAACCTTATAAAGTTTACAAAGATTAAAAAAGAAACGAGTAATTACATAAAAATACTTAAAATGCCTTAAGCCTTATACTTGGTAATGTCACTGACATACCACCATACCATACTGACACTTTGAATAAATACCTTCCTGACACTTTCAACTTTCTATGCATTTCTGGCAATTTTGTTGAATTGTTTAACTCCTGTGTCATACTGCGAAGCGCTCCATCAATTTACGCTTTGTGGTTATAATTCCATTACAAATTTATTTCTTTATGAGTTTCCAAAACTTTTCTATTGGATTCAGATCTGGCGAATTTCCAGGCCAGTCGAGCACCTTTATTTGGTTGTCAGCAAGAAATTTTTCAGCATTTTTGCCTTGTTACTTGCCAGAGAACCACTCCTGAACCCGGGGAAGCATTTTTGTTTGCAGTGCTCTCGAGTACTCCTGCCTCATTGTTCCTTCGACAATGTAGAGTCTACTAGTTCCTTGACTGTTTATGATGGACCACACATGTTCAGGGGGCGCTTTATCGCCCTTACACTACAATCCACTACGACCGATAATGACATATAGCATAGAAGTGCGCGAAGATACCAACAAAACGAAACAGATGCTAAGGGTTGCCGAAATGAAAACCCTAAGAACAATAATGGGGAAAACAAGAAGAGACAGAGTGAGAAATACAAACATTAGAGAGCAGTGCAAAATTCAAGATATTGTAAGATGGGGAAGGCAGCGCAAGAAGATGGGAATGTAAGACGAATGGATGAGAATAGACTCCCAAAAATTGCCCTAGAAAACAATCCGCCCGGTTCAAGACCCCCGGAAGACCACCTAAAAGATGGAGGGATAGTTGGCAATCTACCTCCCAAGAAATTGACCAGAGGCAGCTTCAGAATTAAACAGATCGAAAGATCTACAAAAAGTAGAAGAAGAAGAAGACACTACAATCCGCTTTGTATTTTTCCCCAGGTCTTCTCCTCACAAATTTAGCTCTATTCATGAGGATTTGCACGGTAGATTCGCCACAAAACTAGAATATTATTATTATTTTAGAATCCGAAACCAATTGATTCTTAACTGTAACGTACATAAAAGAAAAACAATGTTAAGTAGTGTAACTTACCTGATTTCAATCATGAATGATCCAATCTTTATGATCTTTAGCCCATGGAAACCTTTTTTTATTCATGGCTAATGTGAGTAGCGACTTTTTTGCAGGACGACTGGTTAAAAACTCCAGATCCTTTATTCGCCGACAAGCTGCCATTGGTTAAATATTGATGCCAAACTCCTGCATCATTTTCTTTAAAATCCTTTGAGGTTATTTTCTGTTTGCCAAGACAATATCTGGAATTTTTCTTTCATCACGTAATGTAATTTTTTTCGATTACATTTTTCTTTGCACCGTGAAATAAAATCCAAATTTTCGTCAAGTTTGTTGTCCTTGATACTTTAGAAATTAATGCTATTAAGGTTTTTATTTTCGCTTTTTCCTTGGTGAGATGTATTTGGCTTTTTCCACGATGTTCTGGTACCACTGGTGTAACGACCATGCAATGTTTGCTAAATTCACAAAAAATAGTATACGACTGTTTCAATATCACTAAAAAATAATGGAAACTATTTATTTTAACTCTAAACACCAAGACTCTAAAATAAAATACACACAAGTTGAAAGCTAGTATGAACAGCATGGACAAACAGTGGGATTTGAGTCAGGTATTGCCACTATTTCCAGAATATTTATTGTACTTCCTAAAATGGTACAAGATAATCAAATGAAAAAAAAAACTCAATAATATTATAGAGCTCAAATATATACGCTTTTTGTAAAAAAAATTGAATTTTACTAGGTGGTTCTAATAATTTGATCACCCACTGTAGATTGGGTTTGTCACTTTCTTGCAACATATGGGTGAATTTTCTAGTCTTTAGGGCACTTTGTTTCAATGAAAGTTTCCCTTCCCTTTTGGGAGATTTTATTGTCTGTGTACACTCTTTGAGTTCACTGTTTGTAGTTTTATTACTAGTAGTTTTGTTTTGGACTTATTTATGTTGGCTTCTTCTTTGTTCTCTTTGGTGATTAGACTACTAGCGTTTTCGCTAGTTTCCATTATTTCTTTCCTATCCTTATTTGGTAGGGAAGAAAAGTCTTCTATCTTTTGTGCCTTGGAAGATGATGGCACATTGTTTTTTTCCCCAACCTTTTTTGATAGGGAAGGGAAATCTTGGAAAATTTTTGTGTTGTGTTTGTTTTTTTTTGCGTTTTTTCTGTATTTTCGTTGTTCTCATTAGTGTCTATTAGCGTCCATTTTTTTCTTTAGAATTGCTGCCGTGAATTTTTTTTTATTTATTTGTTTTTCTGTTATCGCGTTTTGGTTATTAAATTCGTCGAATATTTTATCTATAGTTTCGATTATTTTCATTCGATTTTATTATTGCACTTTGTAATTCATTTCTTTTCTATTTGACTTTTCTATTTGACGATTGACGATTTTATTATTGCAGAGCTTTTAAGTTCTTCGTCCTTTTCTTTTATTTGCTTTTCATTTCAGCAATTAAATCTATATCTTCCTGGCTCTCATTCGGCCTTTGACGTTTTACTACCTTCTTATTTTTATTTATATTTTCCTCTTCTACGGCTGTTTTGTATTCTGTTTTCATATTTTTCTGCTTTTTATTTTTTGATCTGGTCTTAGGTGTTTTAAAATCGCCGCTTGTGTCATTGCACGATAAATTCTTATTATTTGGATCAATACCCACATCAGAAAAATCAGTCAGAGAAGGATTTAAGTAAATATCTGACCTTACCTTCATTAGTCTTCGTTATAATTGTTTTGTTAACCTACACTGCTCTTTGAAACTCCACTACACTAATTCTCACTTTTCCGTGCTTTGTTGTGTCACTTTTCACGAAATTAATTATTTTTGACCGTTAAGCTACTATATTTGTATCTTTTCGGTTATCCAATTTAATATTTATCGACAGAGACGCTACCTGCCCTGGGTTAAGTACCCACTGGAGATACTGCATTACGACATTGAAGTGGCAGTCACTGTAGAAACGACGGTATAATATTATATTTTTTTATAATATGTCTAGTTTTATCCAGTTGTATAATTTATAATTTGTATTTTAATTTCAGACCACTAAGTAATGGAATTCAGATTTGGTAAAGGTCCCACAATTCGGCAAACTCAGCTGATAAACGTTGCAAATTTAAAATAATGTCATCAAATTCAAATACAAATCTTAATGAAAATAGTAAGATACAAGGAACCCTTTACACATATGTTCAAGATCAACCAATAATAAAGTTTTTGGTCCCTAGTATCAGTGATCATAAAGCTTTGAGAGATAATGATTCTCCACCGCCTACACCGCCTGTCAGAGATTCCTCCAGCCTTAAGTCTATTAAATACGGACCAGGACATGAAAAATTTCCGTCGTGGCCTGTACCTGCGGCTGCGGAAACTCCACAGGTAAATAATATTGTTTTATCCATAATAAAATAATATCAATACATATTGTAAGGAAGTCCGTTTCTGAATTTTGGGCGTGACTCTAGATGTAGAAACAGATATGTTTCCACTTTACGTGAATAGTCGAGAACATCATACGTAGGGGCGGTAAACTGGTTCGGGAGGAACGACCTCATTGATTCCTGGATCATGGACTCATTGATTGTTTACCAGAAATATCTCGAATTATTACGCTTAGCTATATAAGACTATTTATTAGTAATGTAGTTTGAGTTGTAAAATAATATTTCATCATAGACTAAACGTTTAAATAAATCAAATAAATTTTCGGTGCAATTGATCTCAGAAGTGTGAGATGAAGTGTTTGATTAATAAATATAAAGTAAAAATAAATTGGTGATAGAAATATAAATAATAAAGACGTTGGACTTTTAAAAATACAATCGAGACTATATACTAAAAACAAAAATCCGATTGCGTTAACTATTCATACTTCGGTAAAGATAATTAAAAAAAAATGAAGGACAGTAAAAATTCGCGTCTGTTTAATTAAAGGTGCTGCTTAAATATCTTACAGTAAAATAGTTGCGAAAGTAGTTAAAATAATAAGATGAAAACTCCAGTAGTTTTAACAAGTTTCTTTAAAAATGGTTGAAAAAAGTGCAAAGTAGGCCCAAAAATATTTAAATTTCTATTTGAATGAGAATTTCTTTCTATTCGATGAAAAATTTGAAGAAGAACTTGAAATGTTCCAAAATGCTTTCAAAACCAATAAAGAAACGTTCGATAAGATTCAAAAAAATGTACACTCTAAAAGAGAAGGTACGAGGACGTGATTAGCTGATTCGAACATTTTACTAGGTATACATTATATTGACTAATAAATATCATCCAGTGGCACTTACCAAGTTAGGTATTTCTAAGAAAATTTAATCAATTTTTAAAAATCAAAAAATCGTTTTTTGGGCGAAGAAGAGAAGAGCAAAAATTTACAACTAAACATGCTAATCGATGCGCAATGTAATCCACATGTTAGTCTTTAACCAAAACAAATCAACTTATTAAAACAGCAGGAAATATGAAAACAACTTGGTTTTGCTTGGTTGGTGCTTGGTAGCAAAATTATTATTTTTTAAACAAAAAAAGGGTTTCACGCTTAACTAACAACTAGCTTACCTTTTTTGTAAATCTGTAGGACTTCGATAACTCACGTACTCTTGAGTGACTACTTAATTCGTCACTGCACAACTTTTTTAGTAATTTGAAGGTGAAGCTAGCACCTGCGTTGTAGTACCTTGGCATCCAAAGTTTGCTTGTATATTTTAATAATATATGAATGTATAACAATTAAATGAAAACATTTAAATACATAAGGTTATTTTGCATTATTTTATAAACTCTAAAAAACTTATCTTAATTACTTACTTATCCTTAAACTTATTGGACCGCAAAGAAATTGAATATTAAATTAGCTAAAATAAATAAATATAGATTGCCAAACTGCTTCAATCACAAGGATTATTAGCAATGATCGATTTTACAGATAACAAATATAAAAATACAAAAAGAATACAATTAGATTTTGTTGATGAGTCTTGAGGAAAACAAAGAAAAGTAAGGTACGATTGTAGTCACTATGTTCACTTAGAATGTCTTTTATGTTATCACACGCGTAATACAAAATTTGGGTTGCTTCTGTAGTAGGAAATCATGTGTGATCTCGGCATGTCCTAATCGTAGTCTAGAGATGATAACTTAATCTCTTCTTTTTATAGGTAGCCTCCATGGTAGGACAATTTGTTTTATGGATGTAAGGTTCGAATTTAAGACATCCCATGTTTCCTGCCATTTGTTTATTATTTTCTTTGACATTGACAATGAAATTGGATTCTCAATTGCTTGTTTTGCAACGTTGTCCGCTCTTTCATTTCCTTTTATTTCAAAATGTGAAGGGGTCCAAAAAAACTGAACAGTTCGAAGATTGATTTGGCATTACATGAGTTCCGACTTAATTAAACTTAAAATAGGGTGTTTAATAAAAAGTTTGTTTAATGAGAATATTAAACTTAATGAATCACTAATTATTAGGCTATTAACGATATTAGTTTCATTGACGAATTTTATTACCTGAAGAATGGCGAATAGTTCAACAGACAATATAGTGAATTGCTTATGGAGTTAAAATGACCGTTCTTCGCTGGTTGTTACAAATGCAGCACCCACTCCATTTTCCGATTTTGACGCATCACTACAAAATGTGGATGGACTTGTGATGACTATTTAACTTCTCTAAGGCTTTGGTTTTAAAGAGGTATGATGAAGTATCAGATTTTTTAAATGATGTAAGATTGATATCGCACTTTGACAGAGATATTGTCCATGGTGGAGGATTATCAGAATTTGTAAATGTGTATAGGAGGTACAGTTATGTCTAGGTTATTTAGAATTGTGCTGATACGATGATAGAATGGTGACTCAATCTTTTTCTTGACTGAAAACTAGAGAAAAATCTGTCAGCAAAAGTGTTTCTGAAAACAAGAATGGTTGGATTTGCTGCCACCCTTGTATTATATGAAAGACTTAAATATTCCCTTCTAAGCTGAAGTAAAGGCTCCTCAGATTCACAGTACATGCTCTTGATAGGGCTTCTGTAATGTGCTTCCAATGCTATCCTAATTGCGGAATTATGAACTGAATCGAAGATATAGAACTGAATAGATTGTCGAAGAAAGTGCACATGTTCTTTTCAAGTTTTTCCAAGATTATCTAATTTCATACCAAGAAAATAAATAGATTTTACATATTCAATAGACTTGTTATTTAACACTAGGTTTGGCGAGATTAAACTAGCTCTAAAGCCTTTGCTAAAAAGCAGCATAGCTTTTGTTTTATTGAGAGAGAACTGCAGAACAGTAGTATTAGACCAGTTTTCTAGTTTGCTAATGGCTCCTTGAATATGATGTGACATTGATGATAAATTTTTCCCTCTTCAGTAGATGACCAGGTCGTCCACAAATAGACAGGCCTTGACTAAAGACGAAAGTGAGTTATCAATATTATTGATTGCAATAAGGAATAAAGTAACACTAAGAGAGAGTGGACCCTTAAGGAATACCGTTTGATTGGTTTTTATTATCAGAATAAGTGCTGTCTATGCGAACTTGGAAATGTCGCTTCAGGAGAAAGTTTCGGATAACATGCAAGATGTTTCCTTGAATTGACCAGCTTGACAAGGTATTTAAAATATCTTGTGTCCAAATTGTATCATACGCGTGAATTATATCGAGGAAAACAGCTAATCAATCCTGCCCACAACCAAATGACTCATGCACTACAGACTCGATATCTACTATGTTATCAGTAGAAGACCTAGGTTTTCTAAAGCCGCTTTGAATATATCATCTTTTGATGAGTATGTTTTAGTATCTTATTCTAGGTAATGAATAGTATTAAAATATTTATTTCCATACATTATGTTGACCATTTTTCAAACATCTGTAGTAGGAGTAGATGAGTTTATCGAAGATATATGTTTTTTCCAGGCTTCTTTTTTACTTTGCTTTAGGGCATGTCTGCAGTAAGTCCGTGGTCCGTAATTAAATTCCAATTTATTGTTTTAAGTTGGGTATTTCTTAAGCTTGTAGAAGGCCCTTTTTGAATCTTTTGAAGCTTTTTCACATGCAGCATTCCACCAGGGGACTGGATTATGATTTTTTGAGAGAACTACAACGTCAATAGATTTAAATAATTGATGGATTCGACCGTTAATCGTCATTCAATTGATGTCAGTCAATTGATTCGTCAATATATTTATGTGCAGCAGAAGTTATGCATTGTACAAAACTCGATACTTTAAAGTCAATTTCCGCCTCTTCATCACAAGGAGATATCAAGTTCAATATATATATATATATATATATATATATATATATATATATATATATATATATATATATATATATATATATTCTGTAATTAAGGAAGAGTAAAGAGGCTAATTGGCATTTTTCAATGACCATTTATTATTCCGGCAAATATTAGAGAAAATCGAGGAATGCAACCGCGATGTGTACATATGATTCCATAAAAAGAAGCCAATTGTGGATAGAAATGTTAGAAATGGGAATATCAAAAAATTAGTTGAATTAACGCAAATGTGCGTTAATTCAATTCAACAATAAAGAAATCAATAAGCTTCTAGTATTTTAAAGAAAGGTTCTCCGAATAATATTTGGCCCTCAAAGAAATTAATTCACAGGGTATTGGAGATGACGCCGCAATGCTGAATTGATGACTATGTTGTAGCATTTGCAAATTCATTGATTCGTTGGTATATATTGGAATCCCATCGTATATGTAATAAATTGAAATCCCCTCATATATGTTTAATCAACCGAAGAATATGTTTAATGTAGTTCCTATCGTACGTATTAAAACCCAAATATATTTCAATTCTTTTAAATAATTGATGGATTCGACCGTTACTTGATGGAAATTCATTTTATGTAACAATAAAACACTGAAAACTTTGTTTTCAAACTTCCACAAAATTTATTTTAAATATTATCACTACAGCTGTTTCGGCTGATTGCCTTTCTCAAGTGATCTATTTTGGCTTGGGTTTACAAATTTATAGTATCTAATGAAATAGGTTGAGGAGGGGAGAACTGTTTGTCTCAAGTTGGTCATTCAGAATTATATCTGTGTTTTTTAATTTGTTGATTTCCATAGATTCTAACAAAGATAGCTTAAGGCCTTTATTTTGAATGTGAAGAATTTTAAATTTGTCATTAAAAGAATGATTATGATCTAGAAGGTGAAGTGCGTATGTCGAATCTGTTTTTCTATTCTTGAAAGCCCTTTTATGTTCTGCTATTCGTTTATCAAAGTTTCTACCAGTTTGACCGATGTAAGTTTTTGGGCAGTCGCCACATTGGAGTTTGTATACACCACTATTTAAGTGTTTTTTATTTTGGCTCTTGTTATTTTTAATATATTTGCCTAGGTTGTTATTTGTTCGGAAAGCTGGTGTTATTCCTTTCTTTTTTATGTGTTTGGCAATTTTTG